AATCGTATATTCTATTTATACAGCATACTCAAAGTATTATCATTTTAATAGGTCATCGACCAAAATTATATGAGATACTCGACCTTTGTTTGTTCAAAGCCTTCGAAGTCCAGTGTGTATTTCATCCCGCTGGTGCGTCTGGCCGTGGCCGAGCCACATCGCCGCGGCTCCGTGGCCACGCGTGGTTTGGAGCAGCGGCTCCGGGCAGAGCAGATCTGGACTGCAAGTGGTGTGAGCCTGCAGAAGCCAGAGGCCCACTCTGCACGCCAGACACCAGGCTGAGCATTTCCTGCGCTTCACACACCCTCACACAGGCCTATGCGATGAGACATAATTATCCTCCCATTTCACAGATATGCAAAGTGAGGCTGAGGGAATTTAAACCCCTTTCCCAAACCCAGGTCTCTCGTATCCCAATGCCAACCTCAGGACCTCAAGGTTTCTATAAAGGAGTTTGCATAACAGGCCAGGTAGTAGATATTTTGGGCTTTGGGACGGATCTGTCACAATCACTGCTGAGGAAAGCAGCCTTCGACACGCGTGAACAGATGGGCAGGGCCGTGTCCCAGTAACGTCTTGTTCAGAAACGCAGGCAGAGGGCTGCATTCGGCCCACGGGCCGCAGGGTGCCAAGGCGTGAGCCAGGCCGACAGCACAGCTTCTGTGGGCCCCGCTTGGGGAACCCTCCAAACCAGCTGCTAACTCTCCTCGGCGCCTGCTCGCCTGTGTTGGGGTGGGCAAGAGAACGCAGTCTCTCCTTCCGAAGTCCACACACACTCGCAGCCACACTCACAGTCACACTCGCAGTCACACTCACACACGGCCCATGTTCAGAACCATCCAGAGTGGCTGCCCCTCGGTGGCCCCTCCTGAGACTCTGCCAGGGCCCAGCCGGCCCCTCACTGAGCTATGAACATGACTTATTCCCCCTCTCAGGGCTGAGACCGAGGGGAATAAAAGCCGGGGCTGATGGAATCCCGGGCATACAATCTGGCACCGTAAAGCCAGCATTTGGAAATTGCCTTTAACTCATGGGGTGCGACCCCAAAGACCCCCTGTTCCGTCGTGGGCAGCATCCCCCCTTGGCGAGCATCCGGGCGGAGGGCGGAGGGCGGAGGGCGGAGGGCGGAGGGCGGAGGGCGGAGGGTTGTGAAGAGCTGTCTTTTCCCAGGAACTGAAATGTGTGCTTTGCACAGATGAACTCAGCCTGGCCTCCGGCATTCCCGGAGCCCGGGGTCCTTAAACAAGGTGAACTGCAAGGCCAGCCCCGCCCCCGCCCAGGCCTGGGGCCTGTTGGCACCGCCCGCGCTCACTCCCAAACACACCAAACACAGTCTGGCCCAGGGAGGCCCGCGAAGGAAGTGTGCTGTTTCTGTGTCTGTCCTCTGATCCGCCAGGTCCTCTCCACCCTCCAGGCCTCTCCTTCCTTTGTCCTGCTCCACGGGCTGTTTCTGTGGCCGATGCCGTCCTGGAGGCTCCCTCTTGGAGTCTCCCTTCCCTCCTCTCCAGCCTGTCTCCCCCCCCACACACACACTCCCTCCCTGCATCTCTCTCTCTCTCTGACTCCTGCTGCCCGTCTTCTCCTGTCCTCCCCCTTCTCAAGCCCCCTTATCTCCCTAACCTGGGGAGACACAGCCAAGCCCAGCAAACACCCCGCCCCCGCCCCCTGGGCACAGAACACACAAAGCCACCCCTCACCTCACAGACAGCGTGTGTGACCCCCTCCCTCCCAGCTGGACCAGGGGGCACAAGGAGTGGGCCCGGGCTCCCTCTGAGGCACCGGAGCTGAACTCGAGCCACATCTCCCCCAGGGAATGCACAGGGACCGAGACAGCTGCATTCCAGGTGTGGCCCCAAAGTGCCCAAGCCCCAAGGGAGGGCCCTTTATCACCAATGACAGTCCCCCTGACTGAGTGCCTACAGCGGCTTCACAGTCCATGTATAATAGTCATGTTAATCTAGGAGCTATGTTATTATACCCATTGTATAGATGGGGAAACCGAGGCTTCCAACAGTAAAGAAAGTTGCCCAAAGCCAAGATCTGTCCAACTCCAAAGCCTGGTCCCTTCCCGCAGGCCTGGACCACATGGACAGCAGGGACTATGTCTTGGCATTTCGGGGAATCAGATTCCGCCACACATCGTCTGTCATCGTGTAACAGAGATACGGCCCAACGACAGAAACAAGACACAGGCTCTTGCTCTCTCCACCCAGGAGACACCCCATTTGTGTGCCAGCGGTCAACACCTGTAGGACCGGATCAGAAAGACTTCCCTGCCAGCCAAGCCTGTCGCTGGGAGCCTGGCACCAGCAGGAGGGGACACCTAGGCAGGGCCTGTGAGCCCCTGGGGGCAACTCTCTCACCAAGAAGGGCTGCCTGCTGTTTCCGCATTCCCGGGCACCACGGCAACACGTGTGCTCAGACTGGGGACCTGCACTGTGCCCACCTGCTCTTTCTCCCGTGGCGGGTCCTCTACCCGCCTGAGAAGGAAGTGTAGTAATGTCACAGTGACCTCACCACCCCTACCTGTCCCTGCAGAGACAAGGCCCATCTGTCACCCACTGTCACTCAGTGATACAGTGGCGGGGAGCAGCATCATGCATGTTTTACAGAGGTGGAAACTGAGGCACCGGCATCATGCTTGTCCACCCAGAGTTGGGTCACTCTGCCGGACCGTGGGTGGCATCTTCCAGGCCAGGTAGCTGTAGCATCTCAAGGGCTTTCGACTGGGCGGCCAGAGGCGCCAGGCATTGGGAGAAAGGTTTTGGGGGAGCTGGGATGAGAGAGGAGAGTGGTCACCAGGCTGATGCCGTCTTTTCCAGGATGAGGGAGATGAAGAAACTGGGGGAAGGGCTTTGTACTTTGAAAAAGTGAGATTTCCAAGCTGCGAGGTTTTTGTTTTCGATTTCAGCAATAGCACAGTCCATGCAGAAAACGGGAAACAGAAAAATGTGCAGACACAAATACTCTCAAATACACACATTCACTCACACACACACAACTCACACTCACATACATACACGCTCACTCATGCTCACACACACTTGTGCTAACACACACACTCACACTCGTGCTAACACACACTCACACATACTGACAACATACACACTCACTCATACACTCACACACAGTTAACCCTTCATCCCTCTTCAGAGATAAAGACTTAAACATTTATCCATCTAGTGCTTTATATATATGTGAATGTATATACATGTTCATATATGTATGTTCACGATTGTAATTATACATGATGTGAGATATGTAATCTTTATAATACCTTGGGATTGCACTGTACCTGCTATCATGCACTGTGCTTTTTCACTTGGCAATAGATTGTGACATTTTCCCTTGTCAAATGTTCTGTGGTAGATTACTTAACTGCATATTCCAGCATAGGACTGGACCCTCATTCATTCAGATAAACTTCCATGGATAGCCACTTATACTGCTTCTTGTTTTTTAATTTTTTTCTTTTTTTTTTTTTTTTAATCCTCACCCAAAGATACTTTTACATTTCTCTTCAGACAAAGTGGGAGGGGGGGAGAGAGAGAGAAACATCAGTGTGAGAGAGACACAAAGAGTAGTTGCCACCCACATGGCCCTAGAGGGGTCAGGGATGAACTGCAACCAAGGTACATGCCCTTGGCTGGAATCAAACCAGCAACTCTTTGGTCCACAGGCCAACGCTCTAACCACTGAACCAAACAGGCCAGGGCGATTTTTCCTATTTTTATTATAAATGTATACATGTTTATTAGAGAACTTTGCTAATATGCAAAGGCAAGAGGGAAATAACCATTCTTCCGGATCCCACACTCAATAACCATGAACATCTGTGTGTACTTCACACCCACTGTCTCAACTCTGTGCCCGATCTGACACATACGGATTTTTTCCATTGTTGTGATTTACAATATACAGTATTGGCAGGGTCCATCCGATCAGGCTTGTTTGTCAATACTTGTTGTTTCTCATGGTCCTGAATTTGGCTGCTGGGTCTGCATTGAACCCTGCTTTCTTTTTTCCTTTTTTAAAATATGTTTTTATTGATTTTTTACAGAGAGAGGGAGAGAGAAATAGGAACATCAATGTGAGAGAGAAACATCGATCGGCCTCCTGCACGCCCCCTGCTTGGGATCGAGCCTGAAACCCGGGCATGTGCCCTGACCGGGAATCGAACCGGGACCTCTCAGTCTACGGGACAACGCTCAGTCCACTGAGCCACACCGGCCGGGCGAACCTGCCTTCTTTAGACAAGAGACTCTGACCCCCCTCGGCTGAGTCTGCAACCTGAACTTGGCATGTTTATCAGCCAGACTGAGGAATAGGGTAGGGACGGGCTGGTGGCCAGACATTTTTGTCTGTGAGGGTCACTCCAGAACCAGGCTTTGGTGTGTTGAGGAAGGGCGCTGGCTCCATTATCCTAACAAAATAAATCACCCAGCTGCGCAAAGATGAGTACTGCTGCAGCCTGTGCAGCAGAGGAAACTGGGGAAGGACCCTGTGCACCCACAGGAGGCGGCGCGGTCAAGGGCGGAGCATCCACTCCCGAGTCCTGTGCCCTCCGAAGATGGCACAGGTCTCTCCCGAGGTGGAAGGATGTCCCTCATGAATGTTAGATCAGCACATTGCAAAACGGACCCCGTGGCGAAGCGCGTGGCATTTGTGTGCCCCGGAGTATATTTAGCTAACTATTAACAGCTGCTATCTCTGAGTGTGTGGGATTCAGGGCCATTTTCACACTCTGTTTTGTTTTTATTCTTTTCTGGATTCAGTTTTAAAAGTCTTTTCTTTGTGAGGGGCACAGATTACGTAGGTAATGAAAGAAGAGCGGCAACGCAAAACAAAGGCCGTTTCGATTTTTTAAAGGAGGGATGGGTGGAGGGGAGACATCCTGCCCTCCTCCCGCCCGCCCTGCCCCCTGCAGCCCCGCCCTGCTGCCCCTGCAGCCCCGCCCTGCCCCTCCCCCCAGCTTGGCCCTGTGTGCTTGTGTGTTGCAGACTCGGACAGCCAGTGCAGCCCCACGAGGCAGAGCCTCAGCCTGTCGGAGGGTGAGGAGCAGATGGACCGGCTGCAGCAGGTGGAGCTGGTCAGGACCACCCCCATGTCCCACTGGAAGGCCGGCGCCGTGCAGGCCTGGCTGGAGGTGGTCATGGCCATGCCCATGTACGTCAAGGCCTGTGCGGAGAATGTGAAGAGTGGGAAGGTAGGGCACCTCCAGGACCCCGGTGGGGTGGGAATGCCCAGCTGGCCCTCCCTTGAGCTTTACCAACCTGAGCTGGCCTGCCCCGCCCCCACCCCCACCGACTCCCACCCTCAGGGTTAGGAGGAGATGTAATCTGGGAGCTGACCTAGGCTCAGGGGCCAGTGTTCCCGTAAATCATCATGTCTCCTCTAGCAAGTCGCATAACCCTCTGAGGCTCGGCCTCCTCCCTTCACCTGGCTGAAGGGAGGCAGGACTCACCTGGAGGGCTCCACGGGCCTGGATAGTGACCCGCCCACCTCGAGAGCACGGGTCTGAGCGGCTGCAGGGATGCACCAGGTGCTCTGCCCGGACCTAATGGGAGGCACACAGGGAGACCGGGAGAGGCGGCTCCAGCCCGCAGACCCCTCTGGGGCTCAGCCCAGGCCATCAGCAGTCCTGGGAGGCCGTAGGTGCCCACCCCAAACCTCCCTTCCGGGTGCTCAGGCCCCACCTTTCTGGGGAGCAGGTGCTGCTGAGCCTGAGTGACGAGGACCTGGAGCTGGGCCTGGGCGTGTGCAGCTCCCTCCACCGGCGCAAGCTGCGGCTGGCCATCGAGGACTACCGCGACGCCGAGGCGGGCAGGAGGTGAGCCAGCCCGGCTGCCCCAGGGTCAGGGAGAACAGCCCCTCCAGCCCTCCGTCACACAGGGCGGCGAAGGGGCACTGTAGGCCGGGCCAGGTGTGCAGAGTAGCAGGTGTGCCTAGCATGGTCCCAAACACCACTGAGCAGGAGGCCCAGGCACACCCCAGTCCCTCCCATGGAAAGATGGGGACCAGGGAATAAGTGAGGCCCCAAATGCCCTATGATCCCCCCGGTGCAGGAGTCAGGGAGACCTCACGCAGCCCCAGAACTCCTCTGTCTCTGCGGGTGGTTCAGCCTGAGTGGATCTGGGAACTGGGCCACAGGTCTGTTCTGCCTGCTTCCAGCTCAAACCCCAGCTCCTCCGACTCCAGGGTGAGGGGGGTGGCATGGGTCAGGGCACAGATGAGGCAGCAGGGCCGGGCGGGAGGGGCTCCATTCAGGCAGCCCACAGGGAATGGCAGAGGCCCCTCCCACCTGGTGTGTCCCCACTGCCCGGCCCCCACTGCTCAGAACACCCCCACCTGCTGCCCACCTCTCTTCTGACCTTTTGTGAGCAGGATTTTTTTGGGGGCCTCATTCACCAAGCAGCTCCAGGGAAAAGGGAAGGACCCCCACGTGCGCACACACACACTCACTCACTTTCTCTCTCTCTCTCTCTCTCTCCCTCTCTCGCAAGGGCTCAGAGAGCAGAGGGGACAGGGAGCAAGCTGGTGAATCTGACTTTTGTTTTGCATAATTATCTCCTTCGCTGATTTCCCCATCATTTCTGCGCGGTTAATTAGTCAGCCCTAGTGGTGTGTGCTGTTATTTGCAGAAGCAGCTTTGTAGATTAAAAGAAGAGGGGGCTGGCGCTGGGGAATGGGGCTGGTCTGGAAGCGGGAAAACCAAATGCCTGTGTCCGGGGACGGCCCTGGTGGCATTCCAGGTGGCAGGAGATGACAAGACGGGATCAGAAACTCCGGAGCGGGGCGGGGGGGGAGCAAGCAAAGCCACCGTCAAGACCCTGCCTGTCCTCGACGACCGGGCTGGAGGTGGGGATGGAGGAGAGCCCCCTGAGAGTCCCCTCCTGAGGGTCCCACAGCACCTCACACTCACCACCCACTCTTAACCAGCGCCTTCCTTGGAATCCCCAAAAGTGCTCACATCCTCGGTCACCCAAGCTGGAACCCCCTCCTGCCTCCGGTCCCACTCCCAAGGCAGTCAGTAGATGCTGCCTGTGTTCATTGAACAGCATGGGGCTGCCTGCTTCTCAAAAATGTGGGCTCTCTGCCCCAGATCCCCCGAAATGTGGCTGACCCTGAGAACCTCCAGGAGCCAAGATTCTACTGGGTAGATTCGAGTCAGCAGCCAGATGCAAACGGGTTTTGCAAAATGACGAGAGCTGTAAGAACAACTGTTTCCAAGGATCATGGGCCCAGCACTGGACACCCCACAGCTTCCTGCAGAAGGAGGGGTCTTCTTATGAGGGTTCCATTCACTCCCTGTGGAAATCTGGCCTGTCCCTGACTTGCCCTGTGACCATGCTCTCTCTGGGGACTGGATTTCGCCACCTGTGAAGTGAAGGGGGTACATTAGGATAGTGGTTCTTTCACTTTTGGGGATCATGGCCCCTTTGAGAAGCAATAAAAGCTTCTGACACTTCCGCCAGAAGAAATAGATGGAACTTCATGAATCTGCGTTCTGGGATCCTCTGACCCACCCACAGAACTCTAGGGTAAGAACGCCAGTGAGGTCATCACACAAAACCGTCCTGCGTGGCTTTGGGCATAGCATCGCCCTCTCTGGGCCTGGTTCGCCTCATCTCTAAAATACCGACAACAAAGCCCACCAGCACTCGCCAAACCGCCCCCCATCATTTTATGGATATGACTTTGTTTAACAGTCACAACGCCAGTGTGGGGTAGACATTCTTACCCCCATTTTAAAGATGGAGAAAGTGAGGTCCAGAGAACTCATGGGCACAGTCACACTACAGAATATTAAACTTTGAAGTCAATTCTCTTTCCTGTACCCCATGTCCCCTTTGTGTTAAGACAATAGCAACGGCTCTGGCTCCTCCTACTATTACTGATGGAACACTCCAGGCGTCCTAGAGCCCGTGCTAAGCGTTTTCCCTTCTCTCATCTCTGAGTCTTCACAACTCCAGGAGGCCAGCTCACACAATCAGCCCCATTTTACAGATGAGGAAACTGAGGCACAGAGGTGCGAGGACTTGGAGCCAGCACAGGCTTGTGTTTTCTCTGTCGAATGATGACCCAGACGATACCTGAATCTGCCCAAACTCGGATTTCCGGGTCTCACCTAGCCCCAGTTTGAGGAGGGGGCAGCGGCGAATGTGATGAACTGTCTTCAGTGCCGCTTAAGGTCAAGTCTAAGGTCGTGCCGCTGTACTCGACTTGGGCGCTTAGATCGCCCAGACCAACAGCTGAGGAAGTGTTGCCCAGCTGAGGTCCCATGGGGCCACGGTAATGGAAGGAGCCTTCTGAAGGGCAGGAGCGCATTAACTCTCGGCATGCACGCCGATATTGCTGATTATAAACGGGCCTCTCTCAAGCAGGTTAGCAGGTGCCCCCCTGCCCCCACCCCACGGCCTGTGGCACCACTGGTTTGCTGAGCAAGCCCTTCCTTCACCCAGGAGAGGGGGTGGGTTCTGGTCTTCGGCAGTGCCGGGCCCGGTGGCGTCGGATTCAGGGGCCCTGAGCTCCGACTGGTGCCGGGGAGACAGCAATGATGGCTGGGCCTGGGAAGGATCCCTCTGAAGGGACAGGCTGGAGCCGGCCTCGGAGGGGCTGGGAGGGTTCCGGTTGCCAGCTGTGCCCTGGCAGCCCCCCTCCCGGCGGACTGCATCCTCTGCCCCACTCAGTGTGTCTGCCTATGTGGGAAGCTGTGGGGCATTAACCTGAACCGGGTGGGCCCCTGGGTGCGTGCTGACGCGCTGCATCCGGTCCTGCCCTCCAGGACTGCCAGTCTAGGCAGCTGGCCGGATGGGCAGCGAGGAGCTGGGGTTCCAAGTAGAGGGATGGGACTCCCCGGAGGCTCTGGGCACAGAGAGCATACTGACCGAGCAGCACAAGGGCCCAGAAGGCGCCTCCGCAGGGTCCTGGAGGAGATCAGCCAGTCCAGGGGTGGGATGGGCTGGAGACCAAGCCCTGGCCCCCGGGGCAGACCCAGGGGCGCTGGGGCGGGAGGAGGGAGAGGGAAGCCAGGAGCCCACCCTTCCTTCCCCGGGGCCATTCTCCCAGTGAAGCGTCGCTTTTCCTGCGTCAGGCAGGCGGTCCAGCAGAGAGCAGTCCCTGTGCTCAGATCAATTAACTTCCAAGTCCCATGTGTGGCTCGTGCTGAGCAGGAAATGCTTGTGGGCAGAGGGCTCAGGCTGGGGGCTACTCTGCACAGCACACTCAGCAAACCTCTCTGCAGGCGAGATCGAGACCTGGGGCGGAGGAGTGAGCCCCGGGCAGGGCGGAAGGAAAGGGGTGCAGGGGGAGGCACAGAGGGGAGCCCCACAGCTGGAGGGGCAAAGAGGTCAGGGCATCTCGGAAGTGCGGAGGGCCTGAGCCTGGTGCGGGGTGGGGGTGGGGAGCAGACCTCCTTAGAACCCTCCAAGGACTTCCGATTATATTCCTACAAAGGGAGTTATGGTAGAGTTTTCTTATTTTATTTTATTTAAATCGACCCTTTGTTCTTTTTTTCCCCCTCTTTTCCTGACTTTTTATTAGTTGAATGTTTTCACTACTGGCTTATGAACTATAATTTCTTTCTTTTACTTTCTTCTGTTGCTGTAGGGAGTTACAATGTACACAGTGTTCCACTGTCCATCTTCAAATACTATTATATAACTTTGTCTCTAGTATAACATGATTCTTCTCCTGCCTGCGTGCTAGTGTCTTATAAACAACATGCTCCATTATACACTGTCCTCAAGATTCACCCGTGTTGTCGCAGGTTGCAGAAGTTCCTGGTTTAAAAAGGCTGCATAATGTTCCGTGGTGTGCATTCACCCCATTTTGCTTGTCTGTTCCTCTGCTGAGAGACACCTGGGTGGCTTCCACCTTTGGCTATTGGGATTCGCCGCTGTGAACGTGGGTGTGCAAATACCTCTTCAAGGCCCTGCTTTCCATTCTTTGGGTCTGTGCCCAGACGTGAAATTGCTGGACCATATGGTAATTCTGTTTTTAGTTTTTTGAGGAAACTCCACACTGTTTCTGCAGCAGCTGCACAGTCTTACCTCCCGCCAACAATGCACAAGGGTCCCTGTTTCTCCACCTCCCCAACACTTGAGGCTTTGGGAGTGGTGATGGTAGCCATGCTGATGGCTGGGAGGCCCCATTTCCTTGTAGGTTTGATTTGCATTTCCCCAGGGATTAGTAATGTTGAGCATCTTATCACCTTTTTTTCTTCTACCTTTTTTTTTTTTAAATCCTCACCCAAGGATATTTTTCCATTTATTTTCAGACAGAGTGGGAGGGGGAGAGAGAGAGAAAAAAACATTGTTGTGAGAGAGACACATTGATTGGTTGCTTCCTGCACAACCCCAACCAGGGCTGGGGACTGAACTGCAACCAAGGTTCATGCCCTTGGCTGGAATCGAACCCTCAACTCTTTGGTCCAAGGGTTGATGCTCTAACTGCTGCACCAAACTGGCCAGGGCATCCTCACACCTTCCTCAGGGAAATGTCTGTTACAGTCATCTGCCCGTTTCTGTTGGTCATTTTCGTTCTCCTTTCGATTCTTTGGCTTAGTTCAAGTTTCCACATGGTTATTTTCGTTCCTCTTAAAGAAATTCCTTTAACCTGTCTTGGAGTTTGTTCCTCTGATGATGAATTCTTTCAATTTTGCTTGTTAAGAAAAGTCTTTGTTTCCACCCTCATTTTTTTTTTTAAGACTTATTTTTTTAGAGCCGTTTTAAGTTCCCAGCAGCACTGAGGGGAAGATAGAGTTCCCACATACCCTCTGCCCCTCCCCCAGGATCACATCCCCCACTAGGTGGAACGCTTGTTACAACCAAACCTACGCTGACACGTCATCACCACCCCAAGTCCTTCGTTGACATTAGGGTTCACTTTGGTGGTGTCATTCTGTGGGTTTGGACAGACATCGGGCGACATTCGTCCATCATCCCGGTGTCGTGCAGAGTCTCTGTCTCTGCCTGTTCATCCCTCCCTCTCCCCCAACCACCTCTCTCCTCACCGTCCCCATAGTTTTGCCTTTTGCAGAATGTCATGTACTGGGAACCTTTTTCAGGCTGGCTTCTCTCACGTAGTCATACGCACTTAAGGTTCCTCCACAGGGGATGTTTCCCGGGGAGTGACATGATCTAATGGATGCGGTTAAAAGCCCACCTGGCAGCCACAGGGAGTGTGCATTGGAAGGTACAAGGGGTTGGGGGCAGGCAGGGGGCAGGTGCAGAAATCCACGCCAGAGGTGGTTGTGCCCTGAACCCAGAAAAGGAGAGAAAGGGACAGACACACTGACCACACTGATTGGTAGATGGACAGGACGGGAGAGGACAGAGTCAGGGCGAGTGAGGACAGGGAGCTGGATGACGGAAGGGGGTGGGGAAGAGCTGGGCGAGGGGGCGGGCATTTCACTTGGAGCCATTAAATGTGAGATGCGCGTGACAGCCAGATGTCGGGAGTGCAGCTAGTCAGCACCTGGGACTCGGAGGAGTGGAGAGAGGAATTTAGGACTTGTTGTTTACAGATATAATCCAGAGCTCCGGAAATGGATGTCACCGGGGAAGAAGGGGAGGGGTCACGAGGGAAATTGTGCTCATTATGTAGCAGCATCCGCTCCAAGCAGGGTGCTCAGAAGGTGCTGGATACATGTTCCTAGAAGGAAGGACGGACAGGGAAGAACCGGGGGACCAGGAGCAGGGGGACCTGCTAGCTCTGTCCGGGGAAGGGACTGGAGAGGGCAAAGTCCAGGGCAGAGAAGATGGTACCCGGGGGGAGTAGTGGAGAGGAAGAAGAAGGATACTGAGTCAGGTGGAGTTAAAAGCCCAACCCAGGTCTCCAGAGATGGGTGGACAGGGACAAGTCTCTGTCTCCAGCAGCCCATGCTGGGAAGGAGTAAGGGGTTCCTTCTGCCTGGGGGGAGGGAACGATGCTGGCCCTGATACCAGGCCTGGGAAAGGAGGATACGTTCATCATTTTACTTTCTTTTTTTTTTTTAATCCTCACCCGAGGACATTTTTGCATTTATCTTCAGGTAGAGTGGAAGGGGGAGAGGGAGGAAGAGAGAGAGAGAAACATCCACGTGAGAGAGACACATCGACGGGTTGCCACCCACACAACTGCAACTGGGGCGGGGGGCAAACTGCAACCGAGGTACCTGCCCCTAGCGGGAACCGAACCCAGGTCTCTCTGGTCTGTGGGCCGATGCTCCAACCGCTGAGCAAAACCGGCCAGGGCTCATTTTACTTTCTTACGTCCACATTATGATTGTTCCCTGGAGCCCCGTGGCTCCCACTGAGACAATGCTGCCCCCCTACCTGGCAGCACCTCCTGTTGTTTCTCAAAGTCCCAGCAAGTGGGAGATGCTGGTCTTATTCCTTCAGCGAGGCTGCCACCGTGTGGTGAGCAAGGGAATGACAGTAACTGGACTGCCCTAGACAGGCGCATCCACGCTTTCCTGTATCTGAGAAGAATCTGTGGTACGCCCACTGTGCGTGGCATCGGTGCCCACTGTGCGTGGCATCAGCACCCACTGTGCATGGCACTGGGACAAGTTCTGTGCGAGATACAAAGAAATCTGAGGGCTGGTGGTGAGGAGCGAGGACTTGGAATAGGCAAATGTAGGTTTGATTCTGACGTGCCACTGGGTGACTGGCTGTAATCCAAGAGGAGGTGGGCCTGGCCAAGGGTTTGGGGCAGGCTGGGCGGTGCAGGGAGCTCCCCAGCGGTGCTGCTTACTCTACACATGTCCTTGCTGCTCCGTCACTGTCCCTTCCCACTGGCAGTCTGTCCAAATGTGGCCTTGTCTCTTTTCCTATCCCCCCTCTATTGCTCCCTTTCTGTTCTTTGGGGCTCTCTCTCTCCCCCACCCCTCTCCCCCCCTCTCTCCCCTTCATCTCCCTCTCACTCCATCTCTGCTCTGTCTCTCTCTCCATTCCATCCCTGTTCCTGTCTGTCTCTGTGGTTGTCCTGCTCCCTGCCTGCCCCTCATTGTTTTCATTCTCTCCCTTCATCTCTGCCCATCTCTGCCACCTTTCCCCACCATCCCTCTCTCTGGCTATGTCTCTCCTCACCAGCCTGTCCAAAGCCGCTGATCTGGACCATCACTGGGTGGCCAAGGCCTGGCTGAATGACATCGGACTGTCCCAGTACTCCCAGGCCTTTCAGAACCACCTGGTCGATGGGCGGATGCTAAACTCCCTGATGAAGCGGGACCTGGAGAAGCACCTGAATGTGTCCAAGAAGTTTCACCAGGTCAGCATCCTGCTGGGGATCGAGCTGCTGTACCAAGTGAACTTCAACAGGGAGGTGAGGACCAGGGTGTGGGGTGCAAGCACCTTTCACCGCCTTGCTTTCCCCTCTGGCATTCACTGTTTGTCCATCCAGCCATCTCCCCATCCATCCGTCCAGGCACCCACCCATCCGTCCATCCAGGCACCTACCCATCCATCCGTCCAGGCACCCACCCATCCGTCCATCCAGGCACCTACCCATCCATCCGTCCATCCATCTGTCCAGGGACCTACCCATCCGTCCATCCAGACAGCCACCCATCCATCTGTCCAGGCACCCATCCGTCCGTCCAGGCACCCACCCATCCGTCCAGGCACCCACCCATCCGTCCTTCCATCCATCCATCCATCCATCCATCCATCCATCTGTCATCTACACCCACCCTCCATGCATGCACTTATCTCTTCCTCTCCATGCCTCCTTCCAACAACTGCGCATCGCAATGGGGCAGGCCCTGTGCTCAATTCAAAGGAAATAGTGAACCCCTATTCCCCATGAACTCACAGCGTATCCTCACACAGGCACCCTGAGGTCCCTGTGAGCACTGGGGACCCTCACTCCCCAGGTCACCTCAGCGTTCTCCCTTGCCCCCCAAACTGACCCACTGTCTCCCTCCCCACCAGGCCCTCCAGGAGCGCCGGGCTCGCTGCGAGACACAGAACGTAGACCCCGTGGTCTGGACCAACCAGCGGGTGCTCAAGTGGGTTCGAGATATTGACCTGAAGGTGAGGGGTGGTGGTGGATGTGGGGGTGACTGTCAGACAGATGCAAGTCCCATGCACGTTTGTGTGCCAGTCAAGATCCACTTTTGTGTGCACTGGGGCATCGTTGCCCAGGCTGGCAAGAATACCCTGCCTCCTGTCCCTCAGGAGGAGGGAACCACGCCCCCCCCCCCACGGGACTCCCAGGGGGGTGGGGGATGCTGAGCCATCCTCGCTGGAGGGCGAGTGCGGGGTCGGATCAGGTTCGTTTTCTCACTCAAGTACCGGTGGGCTGCCTGCCCAGGTCTGGGCAGGTCACAGACAAAATGATCTTGGTCACCGGCCTCATGGCCTGAAGAGAGTGAGGGTGGGCCCCCCCTCGGCATGAAATCGACCAGTCCCCAAGGGGGCGAGCTCTCGGCCCCCAGCTGGCCAGCCCCGTGCCTCGCCCTCAGGAGTACGCAGACAACCTGACCAACAGCGGGGTCCATGGCGCCGTGCTGGTGCTGGAGCCCACGTTCAACGCCGAGGCCATGGCCGCCGCCCTGGGCATCCCCAGCGGGAAGCACATTCTCCGGAGACACCTGGCGGAGGAGATGAGCACCGTCTTCCACCCGGCCAGGTGGGTGTGGGCCGCGCTTCCCCCGGGCCCCGCCCTGACGGGGTCCCACTTGTCCCTGGCGACAAGGCGGCTGGTGTCTCCAACAGAGCAGGAGATTGAGGCTCGGAGCAGCGAAGGTCTTTAGCCCCAGCGTCATAGGCCAGAAAGAGGCGGACGAGCTGTGTGGTTAAACCCCCAGCCCCCCGGGCGTCCAGAGAAGGACGAGCAGAGGGTGGCCACATGGGATGGGTCGGAGCTGGGGACGAGTCGACCAGCCCAGGAGGCCGAGGCCGCAGTTCCCGGCAGAGATGCCTGTGGGACAGAGGCTTGCGAAAGGGGTGGGTATGAACGGTGTCTATAGACCAGGTGAACAGACCACGTCCGTCCACTTACCCCCGTCCCTTCATCTGAAAAGTGAGCACAGGATACACACCTGGACAGGTGAACGAGGCTTCCCCCATGGGGTGCTCCCCGTGGGATGACTGCAGGAGGTTAGATGCCCCTTTATTGAGCACTTGCTATGTGCTTAGAGATCGGGCTAGCGCAGGACTGCACCCCACACATGCCCGGCCGGTGCAGTCCTGCGTACATCATCCATTATCACCAACGACGCGCGGTCACGTCCCTCAGTTCACTGGGTCCCCGTCCCCCTGCGGGAAGCCGAGTGAGAAGGGACCATCACCCCATTTTTTATGTATTTAATTTTTTTGTTAATCCTTATCCAAGGATATTTTTCTATCGATTTTTAGAGAGAGTGGAAGAAAGAGAGGGAGAGAGAGAGAAACATCGATGTGAGAGAGAGACATCGATTGGTTGCCTCCTGCATGACCCTGACTGGGGCCGGGGAGCAAACCTACCACCCAGGTATGTGCCCTTGACCGGGACTCAAACCTGTGACCCTTGGGTCCTCAGGCAGACGCTCCAACTGCTGAGCCAACCCGGCTGGGGCCATCGCCTCATTCTGTGGATGAGAAAGGCCTCAGAGAGGTGCTATGACTTGCTCGAGACTCAACAGGAGTCAAAGGCAGGGCTGGCACCTTCCAGCAAGGACTGCAGTGACCTCCCGCCCTGCCAGGAAGCTTCGAGGGCACCGAGGGGCACCTGCTCCACCCCCCGGTAGACGCGGCCCCCGAGGCCCTGTCACAGAAGTGCAGCGAGGCTAGTGGTGCGCCACGTGCGACACGCAGATGCCCCCAGAACTGGCCGTTCAGTCCTGACCTCATGCCCAGACTGACGGAAGTGGCTGATCTTGAGCTGGTTCCGCCGGGCTCCCCTTTCTGCCTGTCCACCCCAGTGTCTCGTTAGTATTTCGGGGGGAAAGCAACTCCACTGTGAGTTCGAAGAGCCTGGACCTCCGGCCCCAGAACAGGAGGCCTGGGCCCGAGAAGTCCAAGCCACGGGAGGAGACGTATTCTTGGGCCGTTCAGTGGGTCCCCCGCGCAGGGCCGGCAGGGCACGTTGACATTTTCAGGCCCCACGAGAAAGTGATGTTTTACAATATTCTGCCCACCTCCCCTTCAAACATTCGCTGAGCTGTGAGCCCAGAGACCTGGCACTGGGGGCAGGGAGGGCCGTGGGGGCTGCATGCTGGCTCTTCCAGAACCTTCTGTGTGATTTTAGCAGGAAACTTGCCTTCGGTTCCCTCAACCTGAAATGGGGGTCATCACCGCTCCTTCTGAGGGGGGTCGAGGAGCTAGTGTGGGGGAGGGACTGGCACACATTAGGGGCCAGTGAATACCCTTTCCTTCCATCCTGGCCCGGGGACCCTCATGATTAGGTGAGACTCAGCGCTCGGGCAGCCCAGCCGGCACAGGTGCTTCCTCCAGGAAGGCTTCCCCCCTGCACCACAATGGCCTTAGTGCAGTGACTCAGGACACCCCCCGGGGGCCTGTTCTCCAGAACCTTCCCTCATCCAGCACCCCCTTCCAGTGTCCCATTCCCTCGAGGGCTGACGGACGACTAGAAACCGTCAAGAGCCCTGTCAAGCCTCCAAAGACCTTTGTCTGGAGGCTGGTTTACCCCCGAAGCATTTGCATTTTCGTGAGTCCTCCTCCCAAGGCGTTACGCGGTGGGACTTCAGCGGCTGTGGGGAAACGGGGAGAGACTTGCGGGGGGTGGCAGGGCCGTCCCCGTTCCCTCTGTCGACACCACAGGGTGGCCCCTTTCCCTCCAGGGCGCGGAGCTTGCTAGGCCCCGAGCTGCGTCCCGGGCTCCATTGCACAGACGGGGACGGAGGCCCAGCAAGGTCATCAGCTGGCACAAGGCCACAGCTCGGGGACTCAGACCAGGCGTGTGCCCCTCGCGGCCTGTGCTGGTCACAGTAAGACACACTCATGGCAGCTCGTGGTGTGCCCACGGCTCCGGGGCCTTCGTGTGTATCATCTCATTTCCGACCTCGGAGGAGCTGTTGGCACTTACAGCCACGCAGCCCCGGGGACACAGCTGAGGGCCCAGCCAGGCCCCTGGGGCGCGGACGCAGGTGTCTGGGAGGCAGAGCTGACTTGCAGTGGTCTTTCCCCAGCTCCACGGGCGCCCGGGAGGCTGAGCGCTTCGGGACGCCCCCCGGGCGGGCCCCCAGCACCCCCCGGGCGGGGAAGGAGGACCACAGCAAGCCCAAGGCCGGCCGGGTAAGTCGCCCTGCGTTCTGCTGAGCCCTGCCGCCCGGGAGGCCTTTTTGTCAGCCCGGCAGCTTGGCCCCTCCCAGCTCCTGCGTGGGCCTTGGGGGGAGCTCTGGGCAGGTCACAGGTGCAGCGAGGGGAGTCACCCCCAAGAGGAGGGCCCACCTGCCTGCCTCAGTCCCCTGGGTGGTTGCTCAGATTCTGGGACCCCCTGGACTCCTGAAACAAAGGGCCTCTGGGGCGAGGGGGACCCTGCATGCAGGCTGCCAGAGGGCCCCAAAGCACCCCAAACTCTAGGAACCTCTGACTTAGACTTTGAACTCGTGACCTGATCAGCAGCAGAGGAGCCTCTGAGGTAGGAACACGTGTCCAGTGTGGGGCCGACCGCAGACTCAGACCGACACAGAGTCCTCAGTGGACGTGTGGAGACTCAGACAGCAGAAGCGGATGACCCCCAAATTCTTCCATTCGCTCAGCGAACACTTGGGGTGCTAACCACGTGCCGGCCCCATCCTAGGCCAGGGGTATAAGCATGAATAAGTTATACCTTCCCCTTACGGTGCTCTCAGAATGAGCATTCTCATTAAGGGTGAGACCCCCCCAAAGGGTGAACATTGGTTTAGGGGAGGCTAAAATCCCTGACTCTTTCTATGTAACTAGCACTGTGTGTCTGTGGTAGAATTTCATGGTGGGAGTATGATGAGGGGCAAATGTCTAAAATGCTCCTTTTAGGGAGGAAATAATGAAAGAAGATAGGAATTTTTATCCTCATTTTGCAGCTGAAAAACTGAGGCTCAGAGAGGGCAAGTGACTTGTCCCAGGTCACACAGCAGGGAAGCGGCAGAGCAGGGATCTGAACCCTGATCTGTGAGCCTCTAAAACTCACAGGCTTTCTGCCACACCGGGCAGTCCAGAATGTTTGTCCTCGACTTGAGAACGCGGTCAGGCCTCACGGCCATGCTCAGAGAGTCTCCGCTCCATCACACCTGTTCCCGAGCCTCCTCCCGCTGAGGAGGAAGACGAGAGGTTTGTGGGTGATCAGAATGACTACACCTGTCCTCACCCTTGGTAACCCTTGGTTCCCTCCTACTGGGAACACAAAGCTCTCCCCGAATGTTCACTCACAATGTTTCCCTGAGCAGTAGAGTAGTGTCACCCCCAGGAAAAGCACAGAGAGGTTAGATGAGTTACTCAAGGCCACACAGCCATGAGAAGAGGAGACCCCACATTTCTCAGATCTGAAAAGTCGATTCCTTTTCTTCCCCCCTGTCCTGTGGCCTCATCCCTCTCTTCTCAGTTGCCCCTGGGGAAGATAGGAAGGGGCTTCAGCAGCAAAGACCCCGATTCCCATGACGACTACGGCTCTCTTCAGAACGAAGACTGCAGGGAGGACGCCGTGCAGGGCAGGCCGGAGCCGTGCCGCCCGGAAGGCTACAGTGGCCTGGAGGTCACCAACGTGTGAGGGACCGCCGCTCCGCCGGACCCAGCACGAGGACTCACCTGGGGGAGGAGCAGCCAGGGGCCAGCGTCGCTGTCCATCGTGACCTCGGGCTGAGGGTGTGCCTCTGGCCCTGGGGACAGCCCCGCCAGACCGCTGCAGTTTCACACGGGAGCCCAGGATCGAGGTGGCACCGCCGTGGGCTTCCTGCCAGCGGAAAGGTACCGGCCACGAGGACCTGTCACGGTGCCCGCCCTGCGCGATCCTGGCTCCACCGCAGAGTGACTAAGCCCTTGTCCTGGCCACCTCCTGCTGAGACCTCTCACGAAGGGAGGTCTCAGCTCCAGTGTCCTTGCCAGCGTCACTGAGAACTCGGGTTCTCTTTTGGGGTCACTGAATCTCTCTTGGGAGAAAGCAAAACGGGGACATCATTCCCTCTGCCCTGAAAGCCCCGTGTCACTCAGGGTGACATTAGCCCCGTCCTCCCTGGAGCAGCTCCCGGGGTGGGGGCAGGTGAATGATCCATGCAGGGTGGGGCTTAGCAGCGACATTCCCAGGAAATGCAGACATCCTGTCATGGGGGGGGCATGGTGATGGCGGGATCGGGGATTAGGTCTGTGACAACTGTACCAAATGTGGCAATGGATCCGGGATTGGGGGCAGGGCAATGCTCATCGTTAATCCAGCAAACCTTTGTTGTGACGTCACCGGAGACAGGTGTGCACACCCGATGTCCTCACTGTCGCAGAGCCCAGTCATCGAGGTGGTGGCGAGAACCCCAGCCCTCTGCCCGACTCTCCACTGTTTGGCTGTGTGGCCTCTTCCCAGCGGCCTCCCCTCTCTGTGCCTCAGCATCTTCGTCTACGGTGCTGCGGTTCCCTCCCGGGGTGCTGTGAGGGTTAACACTTGCTAACGCCTGTAACACTTTGTAACCTCTCGGGAGACAGGTGGACGTGAGGGGTGGGGGTCGCATTCCCCACGTACACACCGAGGAGCGGACATGGGGCCACTCCTCTCTAACTCTGCTGGGTGTAAGAACCCTGCAGAAGGGCCACACGGAACATGGAAGGTTTCGATTCACAGAGCCCCCGGCGGGGCCGGGCCGGGCCGAGAGGGGGGAAACCGCGGCTCAGCCCTTGGAAACCGGGGTCCAGGCGCCCCTCCCTGGACCTCCATGCCTAGCGACGGTGCGGGAAGGACGAAAGGCATTGTTCCACCTACACTTCGGTCATCAAAGCGAGTCATTTGCTGGGACCCGTCGCTCCTCTTCTGTCGGAGAATTTGCACCGAGTGTCACGGAGAGGTTCGAATTGCCAACACCCGCCGTGCGTCAGCCCCTGAGCGCTCCTCCACCCAGCGCACCCAGCGCACCCAGCGCACTGCTTCCCCTCGCGGGAAGCACATCAGCCGAGCCCCGAGGAGGGGAGGAGTCCGCCCAGCGCCAGGACCAAGGGGTTCTCTCTGACCCTTAACACGAGCACAGCCTTTCCTACCCCGGGAATTAACACGAGCACAGCCTGTCTTACCCCGGGAACCAAATGCCTAGTGGGTGGACAGGTAGACGCCCCCTGTTGTTTGAATGTTCGGCCTCCTTGGGACACATTTCAGATTCCAGGGCCTGCGGGGTGAAGCTCTGGTACCTGCCCCGGCTTTGCTGAGGTTCCAAATCCCAGCATCTTTATGACATTCAGCCACACACGGGACCTGGAGATGCAGAGCCCGGAGCCTGGGTAGGAGAGCAAAACGCCCGGCCATGCTGGTGCCACTGGTCACTCCTGAGCCAGCGTCCAGGCGGGGCGACCCAGCACCCCAGGACCTGCCTCTCGGGGGCAGCACCAGGAGGGCGGTTATTCCCGCAGGGCGAGCACGCCTGGCAGGGGGACCGAATGCGGACCTGGTTACGGGAGACTAACATTCACCCGACTGTCAGAAATGGGTCACTGGCACGGATGCGTTGGGAGGCCTGGGGCAATGCGAGCAACCTCGAAGGCACCTTTTGATCCAAAGATGACCTGGCCGCGCGTTCGTTCCTACCTGATGCTTGTACCCCTGGCAGCCAGGTGAGCACAGGGAGCTGGTTTTGTACATGAGAACAGGCTGGAGCATCAACTCCACGCAGACTCGCATCAGGTGGGCGTTGTCCGCTGGAAAAATCCTCAACGTCAACAAGGCTGGCGAGGAGAGCAGGGGTGCAGAAGGACTTGGCCGAAGGCTGGTAGCTCCGGGCACAGGCTGGCGAAGCAGTCACCTGCACCACACACCCGCACATCCTGTCCGCACGGCCTGAGCTGTGGTCTCGGCTCTTTTTCTTTTTAATGTGTTTTTATTGATTTTCTAGGGAGAGAGAGAGAAACATCGATGTGAGAGAAACATCGATCGGCTGCCTCCTGCACGCCCCTCACTGGGAATGAAGCCCACCACCCAGGCATGAGCCCTGACCGGGAATCGAACTGGGACCTCTCAGTCCAAGGGACGACCCTCAATCCACTGAGCCACGCCAGCCGGGCTGTGGCCTTGGTTCTTAAAGGGTGACACGGCATCTGGGAACAATGCAGTGTGCTTCTCTGAAGGGTGCTGCTGCCTGTGCTTACAGGTGCTGGCCCTAGAAAAGGGGTAGTTGGTGCCAGAATTTGGGGGGAACTAGGGTGGGCAGAGGTATGCCATGTTCTTCCCAGAAGCTGGGGGCCAGAGCCATCAGAAGGCACTTGCTTGGCAGACTCAGCTTTCTGACCCCAGATGCCTCTGAAAGACCCCTTTGTCCTTGGACGAACAGAACTTTTCTCCCAGAAGTCTGTGTCACCATAGCAGTCCCCAGACCCTAGGCTGCCAGGGACAGGGAGAGGCCATACGAGACCCTGACCAGATGAAGTCCAGGAGAAGGGGTCTTTACACAGCCAGTGTGGAGGGGCCTCGGAATGATGTCCCCCAATCCTTGGGCTAACAGCACAAGATGTGACTTCAGTGCTCACGGCGGGGGCACCCGGACCCCTCTGTGTCTCCGAGTCCAGCTCTCCCCTGCCCGTCAAAAGCATCACGTCTGCGCCAGGCACGGTCGCCTCCACACCGGGCTCCATCACCTCCGTGCTGTTCAAGGCTCCAACAGGCTCCTGGCAGTTCAGTGGCAAGAGACGAGCGCCCCGTGGGAAACAGCACCCGTGGGAAACAGCACCCGTGAATCGAACGGTCCTGCCAGTGGCCGGCTGGCTGGTGAGGAGGGCGTCCCGTGCCCTCCCACACTGGGGGGTTGGAAATGCCTTGTCCCTGAGCAAAGCTGATGCTCCTGGCTTTCGGTTGCTGGTCATGGCCCCGAACGTCTTCCCAAGAGTGGATTTTAACACTGTAACAATAAATACTACTGCCCAGCGCTTTGTCAAAGAGGTGGCCTTCCTCTGTGTGTGTGCTCATTAATTTTCCCAGCAGCCTCTTTGAGAGGGAGATCATTCGTCCACTGCTTAGATGGAGAGGCCGAGGGGCCAGCCGGCTCTGTAAAGCTAAGATCCAGGGTACAGAGCCTCGAACCCAGCCACTTGCCTCCAAATCCCAGGCTGGTCCCTCCCCACTCCCCTGAACCCCCCACTGCAGTATTGGGGACCCCGCCCCTCCCACCTTCCCGCCTAGGACTGACCTCACCAGGTGCCTCACTGGAAACGCATCCGGTGTGTGTTCTCCTGCTGGGAAAGCTTCCGCAACTGAGAGCAGAGATTCTAGGACGAGTGGATTCTGTATTAGCCAGTGACGGGGACAGGAAGGGTTTACTGGTTTATGTAAAGAACATTTGGGGACCATGACTGGTTGGGGTGAGGCTGGAGTCAGGGTGTCGAAAGGAATTTTCAGGATCTTCTCTATGTCTCAGCATTGCTTTTCCTCTGTATGTCAAGTTCATTCCCCGTCCCCAACTTGTCCCCATCTGCTTGCAAAATGACCGACAGACACAACCTCCCAGCTCAGCAACCCTGCCCAGGACAGGGCCTCTTGCTGAGAGTTCTAGCGAAGTCTCAGGGTGGACACTGGTTGGCTTGGACTAGGGTGGGGTCAGCAACGGGCCACACAGCCCGAGGGGACAGTGTTTGCACTGGTGACAGAACAGGGTCCTATGGCTCCTTTTAATGTGGCCAGAGGGCTTCCTTTCCTGACACATGCTTCCCCTCCGTAGCAGGAGGGGCAGGGCAGCCGGGCTCCAGGGACGGGAGCCCCACGACATTCTGAGAGGGAAGGACACACGCGTCCACACACCCAGCTCTCATGGGGGCGCCAGAAACAGGATCGAGAATTCAGGGCCATCTGACCCAGAGGTCGGGCCTGGGGACAGCTGACACCGGCTGGCACGGCCCTGTGCCACGCGGCAGGGATCCTCAGCCTGGGCAGCACTGACGTTCGGGACAGACCTGTGGGCACAGAGCTGTCCTGGGCACTGCAGGGTGTGCGGCAGCCTCCCGACTCTGGTCACCAGGCGCCGTTTCTCCAGACTTCGCCACACGTCCTCTGGGGAGGTGCAACCATCCCCCCTTGAGAATCACAGTGGTGCATGGTTTGGCCCATTTAAACCCCAGCAACTCTTTCAGGGAGCTATTGTTTTTCTCACCTGACAAATGGGGAAACCGAGGCACGGGGCGGTTACGGATTCCCAGCATTCTGAGCGGGTGAGTGGGAGCCGGGATCTTAGCGCGGCTGAGGGCTCTGCAGTCCGGCCTCAGGCTGGCAGCCGGGGTACCCCTACCGTTTACAGTAAGGATTCCCAGGGTCCCAGGGCAGAGGGACTTCCTCCTCACTGGGGAGCCGGCTAGGGGAGCTGGGTGCACCCCTCCCTGGGCAGAAAACCGCTCTCTAAATGACAAGTTTAAAGGGGAAAGACAGCTGCCCCAGCTCCTGACTTAAGGTCACCATTAGGGACCGGGAGGGTTGGTGAAGCGAGTCCTTGTAACAGCCGATCCCACACCACACCTCGGTCAGCCACACTTCGTTAGAAGAAGAAAACAGGAAGCAAGCTGAGTCTCTGACACTTGCCGGAGGCCTGTGTGCAGTTC